CCTCCCTCCTTTCCTCCCTCCTGCTTCTCCTGATCCTGCCTCAGCCTCTCAAGTGCTGGGATTTTGGATTACAGGAACACACTGTCTCCCCAACACTGGGATTACAGGCCAGCCTGATCTATACATTGAGTTCCAGGCCAGCTGGGCCTACTGGGAGGCTCTGCCTCAAAAAGATGAAAAAATTAAAATAAAAAAAGCAAACAAACAAAAAACCCCATGGGTTCTGGAAGATCGAACTCAGGTCCTCATGCTTGAGAGGGAAGTACTTTGCCAAATGAGCCCTCTCCCCAGCCTCCAGTCTCCATTTCAGGGACAATTTCTCTGCCCAGATGTTACTTGCTCCTACTTTTCCAGAGCTTGGTCCTTGACTCTTTGCTCATTTTCCTCCACAATTGCATTTCATCATAAAGCTTGAATTGCTTTTTTTCCTTTGCTGATGACTCTCCAAATCTTGTTTTTAACTCATCAGCAATTTTGTACTATCAGCAAAAAGCCATGCTGGCTCAGGGGTCTATTTCACCTTTTAAAAAAGATTTATGTATTTTAAAAATAATTAAACATTTTTTAATTTGTTGTTATGTATACGAATGTTTTATCTGTATGTAATTGCACCATGTCATATAATGCCTGTTGAGGCCAGAGAGGGCGTCAGATACCAAGGAACTGGAGTTACAGATGGTTGTTAGCTGCCATGTTGGTACTGAGAACCAAACCCTGGTCCACCGCAAGAGCAACCAGCACTCTTAACTGCTAAGCCATATCTCCAGCCCCTCTGTTTTTAAAATCTTTGTGTATGTGTGTGTGCTTGAGTGAGTACCACATGCGTGCAGGAACCCTCAGAGGCCAGAAGAAGACAGTAGATCCCTTGGAACTGGAGTTACAGCAGTTGTAAACCACCATGTGGGTGTCTGGAACGAAACCTGTGTTCTTTACAAAAATAGGAAATGCCATCTCTGCAGCCCTGTAGTTCACTTGTTTTAACAACACCTTGTACTAATAAAATCTTTCCACTTAAATGTTTGGGCTGAATTCTAATATTATTCAGTCTGTATTCAAAAAGACAGATATCAGGGCTGGAGAGATGTCTCAGCAGTTAAGAGAACTGGCTGCTCTTGCAGAGGACCCAGGTTTGGTTCTTAGCACCCACATGGCAGCTGACTCCAGTTCCAGGGGATCCAGCTCTCTCTTCTGGCCTCCACAGGCATTGCACATACTGTACACACAGGTGCACTTACATGCAGGGGAAAACACTCATATCCATACTTTTTCTTTACTTTATTTATTTATTTATTTATTTATTTATTTATTTATTTATTTATTTATTATGTGCATGTGTGTGGGTGTGCCTGTACCATGATGCACATGTGGAGTCAGTTCTCTCCTTCCATCATGTGGGTGCTGGGGATTAAATTCAGTTTGGCAGGTTTGGCAGCAAGAACTTTTACCTAATGAGCCATCTCCCTGGCCTTCTTTCTTTTAATAGTCTCTTATTTCTGTTGATGGAAGTAGCAACCTTTTTTGGTCTCTAAAAAATATCTGATTTTTTGACATTTTTTTTTCCTGTTTCGTATGTTGTCTCATGCAATAGTTTGAATGTGTCCCCTAAAAAAAATGTTGAAAACAAGACCCCATACAATGGTGCTGGGTAGTGGGGTTCACAGAAGGTGTTCAGATCATCCTCATGAATGGAGTAATACAGATTCTAAGGGCTTCAGGCTGTGAGCTTGAGCCCTCACTTGGGTTCTCCCATCCTTTCTTTGTTCTCTGCTATGTGGAGACGCAGCAATAAGGCCATTGCTAGATGTTAGTCCCTCAGTCTCGACCATGGGTCAATACATTTTTTATTCATTGTAACTTATCCAGTCTGTGGTATTCTATTACAGCAGGAGCAAACCGTAAGCTGTCTTCTTTGTTGGAGTCTGCCCTCAGGCAGTTGGTAATCTCTTGCTGTTCTCTTTACATTTTAGAGTGAGGGGCAGGCTGATAGGAATCTCTTCCTGAAAAGGGAGGAGATGACTTTTGCTTGGTTAGCTTCACTGTAGGGGGACAGGCAAATCAAATGACTTTGCTTCTTGGAGGCCATTCAATGACCCTTAGAATCCCATTGCCAGTGTTCTGGGAACAAAGTGGAGCTGGAATGTCTACTGCTTCTGTGTGTTTGCTCTCAGGCCCCCTTGACCCTTCTCTCTCTCAGCACCCCACCCGTCATCTAATTACTTTATTACTGTATATCTGCATGCTCTGCTGTAAGCCCAACGAGACAGGGACCATGCATAGTCTGTGGTACATAGTAGACACTCAGAAATGTTTGCTGAGTGGAAAAAAATGGTAATATAGTGTTTTATTTGGAGGCTTATTTTGGTTCCCAGTTCCAGGTCACAGTCTAGCACAGTGTTAGAGGGGCTTGAGGGAGCTGGTCACATCCCAGCCAAAATCAGGAACAGAGAACAATAAATGCATGTCTGCTGCGTACTTTTCTCTCTCCAGTCAGGGAATGGTGCCACACACAGTGGGCAGCTCTTCCCTCTTCATTAATGTAATCAAGATAAGCTCCTATAAGAATGCCCAGAGGTCCATCCTCCTAGGTGAGTCTAGATTTGGCCAGACTTACAGTTAACGCCAACTATGGGTTAAGCAATCTGGCACTGGCTAGGTGAACGACAGGGCAATATTAGAATTTTCTTTAGGAAAGAGGAACCCTCAGACGTCTGCCCAAAGCATATGAGATTTTACCATTTGCACCCTCCTCAGCCCACACATGGCACATAGCTCCAAACGCCATGATTCATACACATAAAATAAGAAAATTTAAAACCTCATACACATTAAATAAATAAATAAATAAATAATAAATAAATAAATAAATAAAAAGATTGGTCATTCTTGTCTGAGCAGCCTGTGTTGCTGACAGTACATACCCTTGGGCACTTTGGTATATGTGAGGACCACCTGGTGTGGAGGTCTGTGAATTGGGACAGGTGTCATTGTGTGGCTTGTGTAGTTTGCTAAGGGCAACTACTATATATATATATATCTCCCAGTGCTCACTCCAGAGTGTCTTAGTCAGTGGCAGCTAATACTTTCATCACATTACTAAGTTTAGCTCAGAAAGTTTCTTGGGTTCTTCATTACAGACGTGTGAAGTAAAGGGACCCTATACCTGGCCATAGTCAAGAGAGTATTAGCAGAATTGGGCAACTCAAGTGAGGGAATGGTTTACAGGATTCTGCCTTCATCTCTTAACTGTGTGTGCTCCCTCCCACTGATACCATCTCTGGGCCCTCTTTTCTCTGCTTTAATCTCTTCGAAAAGGGAGACAGGCTACTAGTTTATTTTATGTGTATGAGTGTTTTGCTGCATGTATGTATGCCTGCAGAGGTCAGAAGAGGGCATCGTCCTCTGGAATTGGAGCTATGGATGCTTGCTGGCTGCCATGTGGGTGCCATGTGGGCAGGTCTTCTGCAAGAGCAGCCGGTGCTCTTAGCTGCTGAGCCATCTCTCCAGCCCCAAGAATGACCAATCTTATCACTGTGGCAAACAGCTTTTCTTATCTGTTTGCTAAACTTTGCTATGGCACTGACTTTGGTTTCTGAGACAGGATCTTGTTTTGAAATTCCAGCCAGCCTGCCTCCACCTCCCCGAGAACTGTGATCACAGGCTTGTAGTCCTGCACCTGGTCTTCGTTTTTGTTTTGTCTGTGGGCAGTGGTAGTCTTCTGTACTAAGATTACGGGAGGGGATTTTTAAAACCTCTTTTCCAGGGAAGACCTCTTCTTATTTAGAATCCAAAGTGAACCTTGAACCCTCATTCCATAAGGTTTTAATAATCCAATAGCATGCATCTCGAAAACAATCCACGTTTAATATATAACAAACACCATGCTCAATGCAGGTTAAGATTGAGTGTCCTGACTGGAGCCTGTAATTCCAGCATTCTGGGAGACTGCGACAGGTGAATTGAGAATTTTAAGGCTAGTCTGGACTTCTCAGACAGACCTTGTCTTTAAAAACAACAAAAACAAAAGACAAACCCAAAGGAGCTCTTTTTTTTTTTTTTAAATTTATTTTTGAGACATGGTTTTGCTAGGTAACTCAGACTGTCCTGGAACTCTTGATCTTTCTGCCTCTGCCTCCCAAGTGCTGCGATTACAGATCTCTATCACCATGCACTGGTAATGTAGGAGTACAGAAAGAGCACTGAAGAAGCCTGCTGCCGTTTTGTGAATCAGCAGGACAGAGCATTGCCCTTAGCATTGTAGGAGGCACCTAGGGTGCCTGCTTTTTTTAAGGGACTGAGGACCTTCCTTAAGAGGCTAGGGAGCCGTAAAAACAAATTCCTTTAGATTATGAAGTCTACAGCTAGGGCTATCCTGTGCCCAAAGATACAATGGTCATGTTTGTGTCCGCAAACATGAAAGGATTAATATTGCCTGCTTGACTCCAGTTTTTTTTGTTTTTTTTTTTTTGTTTGTTTTTTTTTTTTTTTTTTTTTTGTTTGTTTTTTTTTTTGTCTTTTTTGAGATAGCTGTAGCCCCAGCTGACCTGGAACCCATTATGTAGACCAGGCTGGCCTGGAACTCATAGAGATCCCAAGTGCTAGGATTAAAGGCATGTGCTACCACACCTGACCATTGACTCGTTTTTAAAACAAGTCCTTAATATTTATTAATATCTCTCACATCTCAGTTTTTTAAGCAAGTTTCCATTCCTGGGAAGAATTAGGAAGAGGGAAAATGCATAACTCGCTTCCATTTGTGTACTACACGCCTATCATTTATTATTGATGCCCTTAGGAAACATGTAATTCATAAATATAATGGGCCACAGTCACAGCCTGTCTGTAAGGAATTCTGCTTTCTTCCTGTGGCACAGCATGGTCTAAACATGGTCATTTCAAAATGTTAACATCATATATGTGTGCATATGTGTGTGTATAGTATACCCCATTTCTTTTTTTAAAATGGGCTTTCTTTCCATTAACATACTTATTTCTTTACCCAGGTGCATTTTTTGAAAAGAGCCCGCTGAGAAACTTCCAGCAGTTGGATTTAGCTGGAAATTGTGTGAGCAGTGATGGATGGCTTGCCTTCATGGGTGTATTTGAGAATCTTAAGCAACTGGTATTTTTTGACTTTAGTACTGAAGAATTCTTACCGGAGGCGGCACTGGTCAGAAAACTTGGTCATGTGTTATCCAAGCTAACATTTTTGCAAGAAGCTAGGCTTATTGGATGGAAATTCGATGACTATGATATCAGCGTTATTAAAGGACCCTTTAAACTAATAATTGTGTAAAGGCACCTTAAGCCACTGACTGCTTTAGGGACAGCTTTATCTCAACCTGATGATTTAAAAGCTTACAGAAGGAAGCCAAAGATGAAGAAACAGAAGAGTTTGAGAACCAGAGCCACAATTTTGTGTCTCATCTCTCCGACTAGGACTATTCGGATGACCTCTGGCTATTGTTCATGTCTGCGCCACCCTGGTCTCAAGAATACTGGGTCACCACTATGCGGGCAAGCTATAGTGACACCTCCTTCCCACAGTCTTCAAGGAATTGAGGGGAGTCAGTTACCCCTCCCACCCAATCAGTCGACCTTAGCTGCGTGTGGGGGAGGGGCTAAGGATAGACAAGCTGAGAATGCCAGGAGGCCCCTCTCTCACCATTTTCTGAGGCTTTCAGAAAGTCACAGGATCTATATTTGTGGACTTTCCAGTGCAGCCGTAAATGGGGGGCACCCACTCCTCTGTAAATAAACCCCTACTCTATGCTCTGTTAAAAAAAAAAAAAAAAAGCAAGAAAGAAAACGATAGATGAGGGGGATCTGAGTAAACCACAAGTGGATGGACTTACACTGGGGAATGTCTGGGGTCACTGACTTGATATTGGACCTCAATACCCAGGATAGAGTATATGAGTTCCAGTGGAGGGGCTATGGGAGGGTGCTGGTGGGGACGGGGCTATAAAGATGATTCAGAATGTTTGAGATATTCTGTATGAAATACAACAAAACTTAATAAAAACAAACAAAAAATAAAATAACAAAAAAGGAATACTGGGTCACAAAAGTTTGATACACTGTGCGTATTTACTCAGAGAGTGTCCGGCATGTAGTAGATGCAACAAATACTTGCTGAATATGAGATAATTAAATTACTAATAAGCTATCTAATAAAGGAACAAACCAAAATTATCTAAATTAGAGAAAAAACTTCATATATAGTGTTTAATTCCACCAATTTGGAATGTATAAAGCACTTTTTAAAATGAAACTTTCTAATATATCACTCAAAAAAGGAAGGTATTTTAAAAATATATTTGTGTGTGTGTGTGTGTGTGTGTGTGTGTGTGTGCGTGCATGCTATAGTGTGTAAGTTGAGGTCAGAGGACAACTTGTGAGAGTTGGTTCTCTCCATCCACTACCTGGGTCCTGAGGATCAGATTTGGGTCATCAGGACTGGTGACAAGAGCCTTTACCTGCTGAGCCACCTTGCCAGTCCCAAATACATGTTCTTTAGTCAAGCAAACCTGGGCAGTTCAAAAGCAGCTGAATCGGAGGCTTGCACTGTCAGACTTGTCTCTAACATATTCCTTGTGATTCCAGTGTAACTAAAGAAACTAAGGAGGCACATAAAACCAAAGCCCATTCTTTGGTTCTTCATGGAAGTATGAAGGCTACCTTGCTCTAATCTTTCTGTCCATCATTTCCCCCAAATACCCCTTCCCACAAAGGAAGGAGTCTAAGAAAAATCTCTCTCATTTAAACAGATACAAGCACAGAAAAGACGGGGCATGGGGTGGGGGGCGGGTAAGGGGAAAAAGCATCTAAAATAGCATTAGCTTCTATTTGCCTTCATTTTAGTGATATCTCAAAGATGCTGGTGAGGCAGCGCTTGGCTTGTATTTTGAGGTCATTGCTAGAAATTCTGGACCCAGTATCTACTTAGAATCAGACCTATGTTGTGCAGGTTTGGTCATAAAATTTTAGAGCTGATAATTTATAGACCAACTAATCCATTCCCCTCCCTAACTTTCCAGGTGAAAAAGCTGAGAAAAGTCAAATGGCTTACTTGCCCATGGTAACAAAACTATTGATACAGCAACAGCATCAGGACTGGAATCCAAATATTTCATCTATCCCAGTGTTTTCCCATTCTGACACAGTGATTTCTTAAAACACTTTAATCACATTTGGTGGCAGTAACTCAGCCATAAATCATGGGCCAATTATTTAAACTAAACTTCTTCTTTGTCTAGCTAAATGTCATTCTGGGGCAGCACTTCCTGGTAAGAATGCTGTATATAGGTCTATACTGACCACATTCCTTATTTTCAAAGCCAGAAGCTAGCCAAATGGCAACTTCACATGGCAAGAAAGATTTCTATTGTAACAATGTGTGCGCCAATGTCACCAAGAACACCTGGCACACTGATTTTTCAAAGAATAGGGCTGATTCCGTTCCAACTCATAAGGAACTCTGAGTATCCCTTCTCAGGGTTAAGTGGGTGCCATGGCACGGTTGGTGGGACAGCTGTGATGGAAGAAAGCACAGAACATCACATGTGACTGTTTGGTACCTGAACAATTTAAAATCCCATGGCGGGAGGTGACTGGGAAAGATGACTTAGTGAAGTGCTTGCTGTGCAAGATGAAGACCTGAATTTGATCCCCTGCACTCGTGTAAAAAGTTGCACATGGTGGTGTTGACCTGTAATCCCAGTGCTGAGGTGGAAACACGAGGATCCTGGGGGCTCCCTGCCAGCTAACAGAGACAGTTGGTATGCTCCATATTGAGACCCTGTCTCAAAACCCAAGGTGGATAGTGATAGAGGACGACATTCTACCTCTGGCCTCCACACACATGAACACACACAAATCTCATGGACATGTATGGAATGGTAACACATACTTCTGAATTATCACTCAGTACACACGGAAGTTCAGGTTTCATGGATGGCTTCAATTCCTATTTTAAATAAGGTCACAGAGGAGAGACCACTCTACGGTAGCAGAGTCAAGAGTGGGGAGACAGAAGACAAAGGACAGGACACATTCACAGACTTCCCCAGCAGTCAAGGGAGTGTGAGCTGTACTTTTTCAGAAGTCAGATGTTCAGAGTTGCATATCAAAAACACTGTCCAACTTTTCACTAAGCAAAAGATTACTCAGAACATGATTACTTGTTACTATAAGGGACTAGAATTGTGATTGACAAAATGGCTTCTTGCAACTTTTATTCTACTGTTGTTCCTACTTAAAATCAGGAGGTGACTGAAGAAGCTGTTGCAGATTCCAGAAAAACAAACGCGCTAGGTAGCTGGCTAACAGCTGGGAAAGCGACACATCTCTAGAAGCACTGAGTTCTAGGAAAGCTGTGTCCTTTTTTAGAACAATAATTACAGAACTCACGATAAAACCTCACAGGTAATGTCTAGCTTGCTGCTTGATAAGACTTTTTAGAAGCAATATATGCCACAGTAGGAACTCTGTAAAAACTTGTATTTGGAAATCAACCAAAAAATAAGGTAATTTAGGGATAGGGATGTAGCTCAGTTGACAGAATGCTTGTCTATCAAGCACAAGGCCCTAGACTCCATCCCCAGCACTGCATAAACCCAGTGTAGTAGTCCCAGCACTCAGGAGTTGGAGTAATCAGAAGTTCAAGGTCATTGTGCTGGCTAGCTTTAGTTATCAACTTGACACACCTGGGTAGAGAGTGCCTCAATTGGGGAATTGTCTCCATTGGACTGGCCTGTGGCCATGTCTGTAGGGTATTTTGATGGTTGAGTATGTGGGAGGGCCCAGCCCACTGTGGGTGGTGCCACCCCTGGGCAGGTTGTTTTGTATTAAGAAAGCAGGCTGAACATGGGCCAGGGGAGCAAGCCAGTAAGCAGTGTTCCTCCATGGCCTGTGCTTTAGCTCCTGCCTCCAGGTTCCTGCCCTGAGTTTTCCTATCTTGGGCTCCCTGATGAGCTGTGACCTGGGAGATGTGAGCCAAATAAACCCTTTCCTCCCCAAGTTGGTATTGGTCAGTGTTTTGTCACAGGAATTGAAGGCAAACTAGAACAGTCATCTTCAGCTACATAACATAGTGAGTTTGAGGCCAGCCTGGGGTACATAAGACCAGACCATGTCTCACAAAAATAACAAATTACATGGTTTTCAAAATTCATCAAATAATTCATTATATTTGACAGAACAAACAAAAAAGTTAGAAACTTCTTACTGAAGACCTAACAATGATCTAAGCTCTCTAATACTTTGGTAAAATGACATAAAGTTAAATATTTTAAAATATTTGTGTGTTATAGCTAAGCATGGTGGTGCATGCCTTTAATCCCAGCATTCAGGAGGCAGAGGCAGGCAGAACTCTGTGAGTTGGAGGCCAGCCTAGTCTACATAATGAGTGCCAGGCCAGCTGGGGCTACAGGGAGTCCTTGTCTAAAAAAAAAACAACAAAAATAATTTGTGTTTGTGTGTCTATGGCCATGTGGGTGGCACATCTGTGGAGGTCAGACTAAAACTTGTGGGAGTCAGTTCTCTCCTTCTACTATATGGGTCCTGGGGATTGAACTCAGGTCATCAGGCTTGGTGGCAAATGTCTTTACCCATGAACAATTTCACTGTCTTATTTTTTTACATTTACATAAAGTTATTCAACATTTTTCTTATATTTTATCTTTATCTTATGTGTATGAGTGTTTTGTCTGCACATATATAAATGACCACATGTGTATAATGTCCTCTGAGGCCAGAAGAGGGAGTCAGAGCCCCTGGAACTGAAGTAACAAATGATTGTTGGCTGCCATGTGGGTGCTAAAAACTGAACCTGGGTCCTCTGTAAGAGCAGCCAGTGCTCTTAACCTCCTAAGTCATTTCTCCAGCCCACTACAAAGAGTGATATTTTTTTAAAGTTTTTTTTTGTTGTTGATTTTTGGCCTTTTTGAGACAGGATCTCCCTGTAGACCCAGCTGGCCTGGAATTCACTATGTAGAGCAGGCTGGCCTTAAACTCAGAGATCTGCCTGCTTTTACCTCCCTAGTGCTGGGATTAAAGGGCTGCACCACCACACCTGGCTAGAATGATGTTTTTTTTTTGGTCTTTTTGAGACAGGGTCTCCCTGTAGCCCCAGCTGTCCTGGAACTCACTATGCAGACCAGGCTGGCCTTGAACTCACAGAGATCTGCCTGCCTCTGCCTCCTGAGTGCTAGGATTAAAGGTGTGCGCCACCATGCCCAGCATAGAATATTTTTAATGCATAACTGAAAAGATATAAATTCTATATTATGTATAGAATTCCATATATTTGGTTATATATGTGATAGACTACTTTGCTTTAATGGGCTCTGATGTGCCTTACTTCTGAGTGCTTTTTCTCTTAATTCTCATGTTTAAGTCTTTGTTTAAAATATCTTTAATAGCTGAGCATGGTGGTTCATGTCTTTAATCCCAGCTCTGGGGAGGCAGAGGCAGGTGGATCTGTGAAATCAAGGCTAGCCTGGTCTACACAGTGAGTTCCAGACTAGCTAGGGCTACAGGGGAACCCTGTTGAAATAAAGACCAAAAAAATGTTTATATATTTTTAA